GATTTCATAAAATTGCATTTTGTTCTTTCAATTTTCATCTATATATTGAATTTTATTTCTACACTACTAATGTCATTATTAGTAATTGAAATACGAATCGAAATTTTGTTCAGGAAACAGAATCCTTATTAAATGGAAAATAATTTTGCATTACTGTTGAAACTAATGGTAATAATTTTTAAAAACATTCTTCGTGGAAGAAATAACATATTTTTAATATTTATTAACTAATGAGATCGAGGCAAATTTAACTTATGATTATGTAGAAAACCGCGTGTTCCTCACAATAGCTTCTATGCATACTTTGGAACTCTCTTTATTATTATTATAAAATCATTTATATATCAAGACATATAGTAAAATAATGTATGTACCAAGATATAAAACAAAATAATATATGTACCAAAATATAAAATAAAATAGTATAAAAATGTGATACTTTTATTGTTTTACATTAATATAAATAAAATAATGTACGTAACGTTATAATAGAACGTGTTTTCATATGTTTTAAAATCCTGTAAAATATGTTAAAGACTAGTTTACACCTGTTTTGAACAGTTTGCACGCCTGCGTGTGACAGTTGACTGAAGTTTAAATAGCGCGTCCCGGAAATGGAATCTTCAATTTTTCACTGTTCGAAGAGAAAGCAGCACTTGCAAAATGGTAAACCTTTCCGACACAAGTTTTGTATATTTAGATTTATATTTTTCTCCAGCAGTAAAAATTCATTTGAACAATGTAATTTAAATACTTTAAAAAGCTATTATGTATTTTACTGCCATAAAACCAGTACGACAATTCTGTGGCTGTAAGGAAAATCACTGATGTCACAATTTCAGAAAGATTCGGTTTATTAATTAATTGAACTTCCGTATTTTTCAGAAAAGAAATCATGAAAACCAATTCGGTGGGTTCAGAAAGATATCACAATTGAAAACGTGAATTAGTGACAGAATTAATGACATGAATTAATTAAAATAATAGAGAATAGTAGATCAAGAAGTATTCATAATTGTTCGCGACACTGTGAACGAAGATCAAAGCATTTTTTAACAACGAAGCTCGTAACGTTTTAGCTATAATTAACTGACAGAGAAATGAGTACAGATTTTGCATACCTATAGTTCAAGTATGTACACAGCCGAGACATGTTTAATTGCCATTGACCCATCATTATATTACACACTTGCAAGATGATGCACCGTTTTTGAAGTGCCCTTCACTACCGTTCCTAACTACCGATAAAGTGTGTCGTGAAATAAAGAGATGACTGATGGTTACTTGTTGCAACGAAAGAACTTGGGGAACACTGTGTCATGTATAATACCTTATACGACGGCGTGCATATGCAAAAGTCCCTAATTCCGTTCCTGTTCACTATGCTTCCCCTGACAGGTCATTTTTCAGATGCTACTCTAACGTGAGAAAAGGTCACTTCGGGCCATAAAATTAATCATTTTCGCTTATTGTTACTTCCATCTGCGAAATACTTATTACGTTTCTTAAGCAACTTTGCAGTTGACATGTCTCATATGTGATCCGAAGTTATGCAATTTGTAAACAACATTTCTTACATTTGCCTTTTAAATGATTTGACAAGTTGAATGCCGCGTCGCACAGTCATCGATTTTCTTAGGAAATGGGATTAAAATTAAATAAAAATTTGTCTTGTAAGTGGAAAACTGTTATGCAGTTTGATTTATTATTGTCTAATATATATATATATATTTTTTTTAATATATGCATTTACTAATAACAGACAAAATTGAAATGCTTGAAAATTCTTTAAATTTTGATAATCATGTTTCTCTGCTATCAAAATGAGCGCGCTCCTAATTGTTCCAAAACTGAAAATGTGTTTTCAAAATATTATAATAATAAAAAAGTTAGATAACAAATGAAATTCGTGATATAATGTGGTATTTATTACTGCAACTGTAAAATCTCAGAATAGCTGCGAAAGCCATAAACAGTGTTATATCTTCATGGATTTAGCAATAAAAAAGAAAGTAGAAGACAATAATGACGTTATGTAATTACTTGACAGAAATGATACATGCATTTACAAAGATGTTTCATTCATATTCTCTCTCAATAAGCAAATTTCCAAATCATAATGATTTTTATTCCATTCTTACAAGTAAAATTTCACTTTCTAGTTTCGATTTTATTAGTTAAATGATTTCGATATTGTGGAAATATTTTTGGGATTAATATTCATGAACACAACATGAGGTGAATCGTTCGAATTCAACATTACAGCAACGAATCGTTTTTTCAGTGGTCGATAAGAAAAAGGAGAATAAAAATTGCGTGCAACTCAATCCACGAAACGTGTAATTTCGTTAATGAGGTGTCACTCATATTCCTTACGTACCGTCCGTGTAATGCGATGTTTAGCACAATTTCTTTCAACAAAACGTCTCTGAGCTAATACGCTCGTTTGACTAGTAATTGGTTATTATTTAAACTCGAGTGTATATTTACAGTGCAGGATAATTGACGACGTAGGTGCGGATTGATTGCAGGTTGCTCGTCCCGCAACCTGGCCGGAAAGGTTCCCTTGAATACGTGATACCGGTCATACGAAGGCTGAACCGGTATCACCGAGTGACATTTGACGGAAAATGTCGGTGATAGCGAAGAGTACTTCTAACTATAAAAGGTGGGAGCAGTAGGCGTATGGTCGTCAGTACGATTTTGCACGCGATATCTGGAAAATCTAAACCCGAGGTACATGTGAACCGGCAGCATCTAACAGAAATCAAATTTTTTCGTGGGGTCAGAATACCTTGAACATTCGCACATAGAATTTTTCGATTACCTTGAACATCTTTGTGATCGGTGTCGTTAACGTTACTTTTTATTAAGTTGAGAGCAGCTTACAATATTATTGTAGAATTCATTGAAGTTGTCAATTAAACAGAATATTCTTTTCGAAAAAGATATTATAATGCTGTTATAAAAATTATATAGTTGTGTGCAATTTGCGACAAAAGCATTTAGTATAAAGTGGAAGATGTAATTTTCACACAATGTTTTAATTACCTTGAACATCTTTGTGATCGGTGTCGTTGACGTTCTTTTTTTTATTAAGTAGTGAACAGCTTACAATATTACAGTAGAATTCATCGAAGCTGTCAATTAAACAGAATATTCTTTACGAAAAAGATATTATAATGCTGTTATAAAAATTATATAGTTACGTGCAATTTGGAACAAAAGCGATTAGCATAAAGTGGAAAATGCAATTTTGAGGTTATTGACTTTAGTTGAACGTGTGCACTTAAACATTTTTCGTAATTTATAAAGCTAATTGTAAACACTTGATTGTTCACCAATGAGTGGATCTTAACATAAAGAATTCATTGTTTCTTAAATTACATAGTTTCATCTTTGTCAGCGATGACTGGTGTACATCGTTAAAAGATAATCTAACAATTTCAAGTGTTTCAAGCTGAACAAAGAAAAAGGATCGTTCATTTTTACTTCTTCACACTCTATCATTCTCGTGAAACGTCTTCTTATTAGGTCACCCATTTTCAATTTTTAAAACTGTCCAATTTTCAATGCCTTCATGATTGTGTTATAGTGTGATACATTTTTAATAAATTTGAGATTGCAAATAACACTTAATTGATCGAGTGAAAGTGTGAAACGAAAACTGAAGGGGAACTACAGGACGATGTTTTGTGCAACCATTTTCGAATGAATAATTTGTATAATTTTAGTAGTTGA